ATGGACATTTATGGGTAAAATTTCCACCTGAGCACTCCTTTCATTGAATCCCATATGTTTTGGTATGTTGTTTTCATTTTCATTTGTCTCAGAGTATTTAGTCTTCCCATTTTTATTTGTTTCAAAGTGTTTAGTCTTCCTGTGATTGTTTTTTTTCACTTAGTGGTGATTTAAGAGTGTTTTGTTTAATTTCCATATATTTGTGAAACCTTCGGTTTTCTTTCTATTATTGACTTCTTGGTTCATTCCCTTGTTGTTGGAGAAGAAACTTTGTATGATTTCAATGTTTTAAAACTTTTTAAAGACTTGTTATTTGCCCCAACATATAATCTCTCTTTGAGAATGGCTCATGTACCCTTGAGAAGAATGTGTATTCCATTGTTTTTGAGTGTTCTGTACATACTTGTAATATCTAGTTGGTTTGTGAAGTTGTTCAGATCATCTGTTTTCTTATTGATCTTTTAGTAATATGGTCTGTCCATTATTGAAAGTGGGTTATTGAAGACACTGACTTGTGTTAAGCCATTTTTGCATTGCTGTAAAGGATTACCTGAGACTGGTAATTTATAAAGAAAAGAGTTTTAACTGGCTCATGGTTCTGCAGGCTGTACAAGCATAGTGCTGGCATCTTCTCAGCTTCTGGAGAGACCTCAGGGAGCTTTTACTCATTGTAGAAGTGAGAGCGAGAACAGACACATCACGTGGTGAGAGCAGGAGCAAGAGAGTGAGGTGGGAAGATGCCACGCATGTTTTTAAACAACTAGATTTGGCAATAACTCATTTTCTGTCTTGAGGACAGTACCAATGGGATGGTGCTAAACCATTCCTGAGAAATCCTCTTTTGTGATCCAGTCACATCCTACTAGGCCCTACCCGCAACATTGGGGATTACTTTTCAATATGACATTTGTAGGGACAAGCTATAAAACCATGTCAAACTATTATTTTAGAACCGTTTCTCCCTGCATTCATGTCGATTTTTGCATAAATTTTGGGGCTGTGTTAGATGCATACATTTTTATAATCATTATATTTTCTTAATGGATAGAGCCTTTTATCAATATAATTAATAATGCAGTGTCCTTTGCCTCATGACAGTTTTTTATTTAAATTCTATTTGTCTGATGTTAATGTAGCCACTTTAGCTCCCTTTTGCATGGAGTGTCTTTTTCCCTCTGTTACTTTTAACCTGTGGATGCAGATCAAGTAACTTTTTTTTTTTTTTTTTTTTTTTTTAAAAAAAGTTTTTTTTTTTTTTTTTTTTTTTTTTTTTTTTTTTTTTTTGAGACAGAGTCTTGCTCTGTTGCCAGGCTAGAGTGCAGTGGTGCAATCTTGGCTCACTGCAACCTCCGCCTCCTGAGTTCGAGTGATTCTTCCGCCTCAGCCTCCCAAGTAGCTGGGACCACAGGCACATGCCATCACGCCTGGCTAATTTTTATATTTTTAGTAGAGACGAGGTTTTACCGTGTTGGCCAGTATGGTCTTGATCTCCTGACCTCGTGATCCGCCCACCTCAGCCTCCCAAAGTGCCGGGATTACAGGCATAAGCCACTGCACCTGGCCTCAAGTAACCTTTTAGCCTATGTCTGTGGATCTAAGATGAGTCTCTATAGACAGCATACAGTTGAATCATTTTTTATTGTATTCTGCCCATCTCAGCCTTTTGATTGGTGAATTTAATCCATTTACATGTAAAGTGAATACTGATAAGAAAAGACTTCTGTCATCATCCTATTTGTTTTCTATATGTCATATATTTTCTTTTTGGTCCTCAGCTAATACATAATTGCTTTCTTTTGTGTTTAGTCTTCCCCCCCCCCAGTATGCTATTTTAATTCCTCTTCTTTTCTTTTTCTGTATTTTTTTTAGTCATTTTCTTATTAGTTAACATGAAGTTACACCTAACATCCTAAATTGATAACAATCTAGGTTGACGTGATATCAGTTTACTTTGAGTAGTGTACAAATCCTGCTTTTATTTACAGTTACTTTTACTGATATTCTTTTTTTTCTTCATGTGGCTTTGAGTTAAGACAGTTTGATTATGACATATGATTATGATGTGTCTTCATGTGGAGTTCTTGGAGTTTTTCACAGCTAGTATTCATCTTCTTGGATGTGTAGATTTATATATTTTATCAGATTTGGAAAGGCGTGGCCATTATTTCTTCAAATAGCCTTTCTGCCCCTTTCTCTCCTTCTGAAACTCTCATAATGTTATGTCCTGGTCTGATTGATGGTGTCCCACAGTTTTCTTAGTCTCTGTTTACTTTTTCATTCTTCTTCCTTCTGTTCCTCACACTTGATAATTTCAGTTGTCCTATCTTCAAGTTCACTGATTTTTTTTTCCTATGCCTATTCAGATCTGCTGTTGAAGCTTTCTGGTGAAATTTTAACTTCAGCTATTGTACTTTTCAGTGCTAGAATTTCTATTTGGTTCTATTTTTGATCTCTTTCATGATATTTTTTCTTTGTTAAAACATCATCTTTCTGGTACTTTGTCCATAATGTTCGTTTACTTTTTGAACATATTTAAGAGAGTTTATTTTAAGATTTTGTTGAGTAAGTCTAATGTCTTGGTTTCCTCAGTGATGGTTTCTATAATTTTCTATATTCCCTGTGAATGGCCTATACTTTCTTGTTTCTTTACATGCTTTGTAATTTTTTGTAGTAAACTGGACATTGTTTTAAAGCAGCTACATTCTTCTAAGAGAGACATTTTGGATATTACAGTGTTGTAACTCTGGAAATCAGATTCTTCCTCTTTTCCCCAGGGCTTGCTGATGTTGCTTGTTGTGGGCTGCAGTCATTCGTTTGTTTAGTGCCTTTTCCAAACTATTTTTGCACAGTCTGTATTTCTTGTCATGTGTGTTCACTGAAATCTCCATTTTATTATCTCAGCCAGTGACAGAGATTTCTTTAAATGCCAAATTTTTGTAGCCTCTTTCTTATTAAACACTCCCTGTTTGTTATTAGTTTTTTATTAGATTTCAGAGTTCTCAGAAAGTTGCTCTGGTAGTTTTTGCCAGTTCAGTGGTTGCTTCAGTGGAGGTATGATTTCTTTGAGTTCTCTACTCTCCCGTTTTTGACAACAGCTGCTGGATTCTTTTTTATGGAATATGATTCCTGGATTTATAGTTATTTAATGAAAGCAAAATTTTAAAACAAATATATACTGATGTTTATTCAGTAAAGTTATCTTTATCCTTATTAGTTCTGAAGTGATTATATGGCATTATGTAAAGCCTAAGCATCTTAATTTAGAAGCAGAAATAATTACTTTTATAACTCTTCCAATATTTTTCCCAATTGTATCTCAAAATTTAAACAGATAAGACTTTGTCATTTTTGAACTACTGTGAAATAGTGTCATTTAGAAAAAGAGTAGATCCATCAGAAACAGCAAGAGAAAATGCAGCACACTTATTCTGCTTCTCTTTAAAATCTTTATGATATAATTTTAAAGCAGGTTTTCTGAGCCCCAGCAGTTGACTAGATAACTCTTTTTGTGGGGATTATTCTAAACATTAAGGATGTTTAGTGGCATCCCATGACTCTACTCATTATGTGCTAGTAACACCTTTTTTCTCATTAATGACAACCAGAATATGTACCCAGACATTGCTGAATGCTCTCCAACAGGCAAAGGTGTCTTTGATTGAGATCACTCCTTTAACATAAAATTTTTGCCAAGACCGTAATTAACTTATGTATTTCCCAATGGCAGCAACCATTTGGTGTTCTCCCCTCATTTTACAAATAAGGAAGTTATTAGAAAGCTAGCATTGTGTAATCAGGCAGTTCTCTTGGCCATTAAGGAAAGTGAATGGTGGAAAAGCCCTAATCTCACCCTTGTGTTACTGTTTGTTATTATTACAGCTTCAGTGGGCTAAATGCGTTGTTTTGTTCCCTAAATATTAGTTTACTCTGTCTCAGATGGCACAACAATAGGTATTTCTTGCCTGAAATACCCAGATGATTGAAAAGAAAAGTGATTCATTTTCTCTAAAAGAACATGAGATTATTGTACCTAAAATAATTTTTTAATATTTTGATGATCTTAATTCAGGGATGTTTTATTATACTGCAGTATCTTTAAGCTAAAAACTAAATTTTCTTAAAATTTTATTTTAGAATTTATTCTTAGATATACCCTTTGTGACATTCAAGCTCCAAAAATAGATGTCAGTAGTATTAGTTATATATGGTATTTTCTCCTATATTATGAATATTAAACATTGTCGCATATGGTTTTATATTATTAAGTATATGTAAGACTTGGTCCACATCAGATTTATAATTCTTGAAGATGTTGAGTCCATTTTTTGTATTGCTGCCCTTTTTTATTAACAGTGATATCATAAATACCTCAATGCATTTGTCTTAGTCACTTGATTCTAGAGATAGCTAGTCTGAAAATACAATTCCGAATCCATTGCTCCTGTGGCTTAACCTTATGGAGATATTGGGGTTGGAGAGAGGAGTACTGATCATTCAGATTCTGAGTGAGTAAAAATATTTCGGTACCAAATTATTATGTCCAGGAAGCTAAGAAGTAACCTTAAGTTCTGGTTTACTATAAAGCAGTTTAATCAAAAAATACTATGTTTAAAACTAAACTTTTTCAAGTACAGTTTGTTATGCTTTAGTTTCTGAAAGTCTTTTCTGTAGTCCCAAATGCTTTTGTATATTCTATATCTTGGTACATTCTAAAACAAACCTTAGTAATACTTGATTTTTAATATTCAAGTTAAACCCAAGGTATAGATAATTATAGGTGACTTTGAAGATAATTGTTTCATAAAAATTACATAATGATCAATTATCAGTTGATTTTTTTAATCCTGGTAAAGCTTAGTATAATAGGATTCAACCCAGGTGGAATTTGTGGTTTGCAAGCTTTTACAAGAGAGAAGCCATCAGTAGCTGTTATGGAATCTGCTTCACTTTACTTGTACTTTAAGTTTGAAATGAACAACTAATTTTGTTTTTGTTTTTAGCTGTAGCACCAGTTGTACCTGATTTAAGTAGTGACATTGATACTAGTAATTTTGATGACTTGGAAGAAGATAAAGGAGAAGAAGAAACATTCCCTATTCCTAAAGCTTTTGTTGGCAATCAACTACCTTTTGTAGGATTTACATATTATAGCAGTCGTAGGTAAGTACGCCAAACAGTGATTGTAGGAGTAAATGCTGATTTTATTCTTAGGAATATCTAAAAATCATTTGTAAAGTAGATTTAATGGTATATAAATATATACCTTATTATGTAATTTTTCAATGATGCATGCTATTTCCAGTATTTCATATTTAATTTCTTTTGGACTCATCCATGTTCACGACATTGGTTTTCAAAAATTTTTTGCTAAATGTTATATTGTATATCCTCAAGTTACAACAATTAATGGGTCAAAAGATGCTATAAATACTGATATTTTGATCTATAGACTTACAGTTTATAATGCATTTTGAAACAACGTGTAGACAATGAATTTTGAAACAACGTGTAGACTTTTTTTTTTTTCTCTTCCTGTGACAGAGCCTTGCTCTGTCACCCAGGCTGGAGAGTAGTGGCATGATCTTTGCTCACTGCAACCTCCACCTCCCGAGTTCAAGCAATTCTCCTTCCTCAGCCTCCGAAGTAGCTGGGATTATAGGTGCCTGCCACCACACCTGGCTAATTTTTGTATTTTTAGTAGAAACGGGATTTCACCTTGTTGGCCAGGCTGGTCTCAAACTCTTGACCTCGTGATCTGCCTGCCCCGACCTCCCAAAGTGCTGTGACTTCAGGTGTGAGCCACCGCCACTGGCCAACATGTAGACTTTTTTAGCATTATCATCACCATATTGATTCTACCAATTTTTAGCTCTTTAAAAATTAAGTGATTCCTCCCCAAACTCATGTAATTGACCATGTGTTGTAACATGTAATATTACCTCCCTCCACTGAGACCTTAGACAAATAACTTTGGCCTTTTATGCCTCCATTTCCTCAAAAATAGGGATGATGATAATAAAAATAATACTACTTGCCTACTTATAGGGTTGTTGTAAGGGTTATGTAAATTAAAACAGTACAGCACTTAGAACAGTGCTTTGCATGGTGTAAGCACTCAGTGTTAACTATTATTACCATTAGTGTGAGTTCATGTTAGCTTTACTCTAATGTACTTGAGATTTAAGTTAAACATCTAACATTATTTTAGTGTGCTGAGCATTCATTTATTCCACAGATATCTTTGATAACTTACTGTTTGTCAGGTATGTACTAAGCACCAAATTGCATGGAGAAGGATGAATAAGATATAGTACCTTCTCTTGAGATGCTCCCATCTTGGTGAGAAATGGATAAATTGTACAATGTAGGTTGATAAGAACTACATAGTAAAAATCTTGGCTGGACATGGTGGCTCACATCTGTAATCCCAACTGTTTGGGAGGCCGAGGCAGGCAAGTCACTTGAGGTCGAGAGTTCGTGACCTGCCTGGCCAGTGTGGTGAAACCCCATCTCTACTAAAAATACAAAAATTAGCTGGACATGGTGGCGCATACCTATAATCTCAGCTACTTGGGAGACTGAGGCAGAAAAATTGCTTGAACCCAGGGGCTGTGGAGGTTGCAGTGAGCCGTGATCATGCCACTGCACTCTAGCCTGGGCAACAGAGTGAGACTCCGTCTCAAAGAAATAATCTAAACAAAGTGCTATACCAGTATAATGCATTGAACCATATGATAACATTTACTGGGAAGGTTAAATCTACTTTTAATTACCTCAAAAATATGTACTTCTAATCAAATCAAATTTGGAATGGCATCAGATAACTGATTTGCTTGGAATAAATTATTAAATTTGAAGTCATTATAACTAATCTTATTTTAAACTGAAGGGTCTTGTCATTTTAGTATAAGAGCCATTCAGGTTAAGCTTAGAAAACTTCTAAAAAGACAATTTAGTCCAGCTTTTTGAAACTTCTCTGGTAATCCACTATAAGACAGTACTTAATACTTTTTGTTGCATCATCAACAAGGTAGCTGGCACTTACCTTTTTTTTTCCTCCCTAACACTCCATAAGTATAATATTTAACTATTTTATATTAACATACATATACACAGAAGAGCTTCAGGGTGGTTTTTGCTGAAGTATTCTTTAACTTTCTGTATTTTTATCAATTATTCTTTGATTTGGTTTCTGAAACACTCAAGTTGTTGATATAAACAACCCCCAATGTTTTTGTATTTTCTGGAGTAGAATCTAGCATTTAATCACTTTATTTAGGTTTCTCTGTACGAAGGGTAATCTTGAGATAAATAGACATTTATTATACTCTTTCTCCTACATTATCATGCACTTGATTATGTTCTCTAGTTTTTCTTTGTATTCATGTTTTATGGCCCAAACTAATTTTTAAGTTTCTTAAAAGTAGAAATTATACTGTGTTCTTAACTGTCACAGCCTTATTGGCAAATATATGTAGTGTTTTTAAAGTAATCACTTACTATATGAGCAGGCAAAGTATGGTTGCTCTTAATAAAGAAAGAACCAACAACTATATATATATGTATATATAGACAGAGTCTCTCACTGTTGCTGAGGCTGGAGTGCAGTGGTGTGATCTCCACTCACTGCAATCTCCTCCTCCTGGGTTCAAGTGATTCTTGTGGCTCAGCCTCTAAATAGCTGGGATTACAGGTGCGCATCACCACACCTGGCTAATCTTTGTACTTTTATTAGAGATGGGGTTTCACCATGTTGGCCAGGCTGGTGAACTTCTGGCCTCAAGTGATCCACCCACCTTGGCATCCCAAAGTGCTGGGGTTACAGGTGTGTGCCACTGCATTTGGCCCCGGCCAAATATTGATTAGCCATATTATAATACATAAGTATAATTTTGAATATACAGATATAAAATAGAAAACCTCTTAAATTCTTATCCCTAAAATCCAAAAATAATTTTAATACCAAGGGCAGAAATTATTATTGCTTAATTGTAGCTGAATTAAACATGATTTTTAAAATAGCCTAAGCTGTATTCCTAATATAACTCCTATTTCATAAAAAGTTGCCTAAATGACAGATTCTATGTAAAAGCACCAGTATACTATGCAAAAGGACCTTGATAGCAAAAAGACAGAAGGTAGAAGAATTAATGGATGTATACAAGTGATGTCCTTACATTTCCCTCACTGTGTTCAACCTTATATTACTAATTTTGCAGAAGACTAAAATGTTAGTCTCAGTTACATAGCATGTTAAGTTTAGAAAATATCTTAGAGATGAAATAGTCTCATCTAATTTAGATTTCACTGGCATTGCTATATGCCTTATTTATATTGCATAAGCAGAATCTCACATTAAATTTTGAGATACTTAATAGTCAATGGAATTAAATTGCACTACATCTAGAATTTGTCATTTGTTATATGGGACTTTTCCCCTATAAACCTGCTACATAGCCCCTATTATTGTCATATAGTTATTTGAATCTCCGTTTGATGTGAATAATTTTTCAAGGAAAACCTAGGAAGTAGCATATTTCTGGCTGTTTCTTTTATAGCACCATTATAGTGTGTATGTTTATTGATACTTAATGGATACTATCTTCTGTTCACTTAATTTTAAAATTTACTTAAACTTTTCTTTTGGAATACTATTTATTAATATCTGGTGTGTTAACACATGTCTCCAATAGCTACGAAGTATACTATAGCTTTTTTATCTCCTTTTGCAAGAGCTCTACTCATTAATTAGGGTGCTGACTGTAGTGATGGTGCTAGAAGTAATGATTGTGGTAGTTGTAGCATTGTGGTGATAGTAGCAACACTGGCGGCACTAGTGCCTTACCTTTATATCATTTGATAGCTTAGAAAATTGTTTACATATATGATCTATTTAGATTGTTTGAGAATCTTGTGAGACATCTAAAAAAGACTCGAAATTAGTTTACTAATAGCTTTATTTATATACAATTCTAAGTTTACACCGAATTTAAAGAACTCACAAGGCTGGAAGTCCCAAAAGATTAGCAGGACATCACCTAAACTTTGGTTCTGTTATTTTAGCCACTTAGGCAAAAACTTTTTTGACCCAAAGAGGCAGTATTACGCTTTGCTGAAGGATAGTTGGGTGCAGGAGAGGTGGTTGTGCATATGTCTGCAGAAGTCAGCAGTTTTTTACCCCCAATTGTTATATACAAAAAGCTCCAAAAGTTGAATGTTTTTTAGTTGTTTGTTTGGTGGAAAACCTCTCATAATTTGCTCTTATGACCAAAAAGCCTAATCTGAATTAACTTGAGACTCTTTCTGGTTTTTATTTATCCTACTTGGTATGAATATTCTTCTTATGTTTTGCTGCAGGAATATTAAGTCATATGTTTATAGGCTGCTACTATTTTTAGACCTAACTGGGTGTTTTATTTAATATATATATCATTTTTGAATTATGTTTATAAAAATACAAACCTATACTTCATTTTTAAAAACAAAGCTACTATAACATTGAACATAAAATAGCCATGTAGTATTTATTATTGGTTGTTATGGGATATTAAAGAGTTTCTTTTGAAACTTTTCTTTTCCTCAGATACTTATCTTCAGCAAATCCTAATGATAACAGAACTAGCTCCAATGCAGATAAAAGCTTGGTAGGTATTTTCTTAATATTAAGAAAATAATTTTTAGAATTGTTTTGTGGATAATATATTTGTGTGTATGATAGTAAACTTACATATTGTTTGTGAAGCTATAGTTAGCTAGATTTTTATGGCACTTTTATCTCCCGTCTCCTTTCCAGTCTGATTTTTTTGCGCGAATATCAAATGGAATAATATATTTGGAGGCTGTTAGTAAACTAAATTGCTACACAGATTAAAGTGGTCATCTTTTTTAATCTTTGGAATCAGGAACTATGATATATCAGAGTATCATTAAGGGTCTTGACAGGCAAATAGACACATGTTCAGAAGATTTAAACAGAGTTTTATGTATGTGGTAAATATACATAACATGAAATTTACCATTTTAATCATTTTTAAGTGTGTAATTCACTGGCATTAAGCACCTTCACGTGGTTGTGCAGCCATCACTGCCATCCATCTCTATAACCTTTTCATCATCCCAAACTAAAAGTCTATACCAATTAAACAGTAACTCCTCATTTCACCCTCCCTCCAGGTCCTGGTAACCACTATTCTACTTTCTGTCTCAATGAATTTGATTATTGTAGGTATCTCATATAAATGGAATCATATAATATTTATCTTTATGTGACTGGCTTATTTCATGTAGCATAATGTCTTCAAGGTTCATCCATGTTGTAGTATCTATTAGAATTTCCTTTGTGTTTGAGGCTGAGTAATATTCCACTGTGTATGTGTGTACATATATACATATAGATGCATATATATATACATCTATATACATATATGTGTATATATACATATATACATCTATACACATATATATGTATAGATGTATATATATACATCTATACACATATATATGTATAGATGTATATATACACATCTATACACGTATACGTATATATACATATGTATGCATGTACACATATATATACATATCTATATGTATATATATATGTATGTACACACACACACACACCATATTTTGTGCATTTGTTAAATGCAGAGTTTAATGAAGCGATGATTAACATGCTGTGAACATCAGTAGAAGGAAACAATGAAGGGTACTAAAGCACCCATGTATGAACAAGAGTGGAAAGCCATTGCCCCTGTACTGAAGGAGCAAAGAGAGAAAATCTTATTCCCATAGCTCAGAGAAAGCCTGACATCTTAGATGAAGAATATAGAACATAGAACCTTTCAAGAACTACAGTAAAGCACAAAGGGTGTAAGGAGAATGAATATTTCTTTTTTTTTTTTACCTTCAGATTCCTTCTGGTGTCTCCTGTGGGTTTAAACCAACCTTAAAATCATAGGGCTACAGAGTAATAACAGGCAATGCACTCTGTAGATTTTAAGGCAAAGAAGAGCAGAGGATGGATTTTCAAGGTTAGGAGGGAATGGGGGAAATGGAGAGTAACAGTATGGTCAGCATCATTTTAATTTGTCCACTGAGAAGTAAATTACTCTAGAAATGAAATTTTAATTGAGTTCTTTCTGTTGTTTGTATAGGTCATGTTCTGAGACAGAGGTAAAACTAAATCTTGCTTACATTTCAGAAGGTCCTTTGGGTTAACAGGATTTTTTTTTGAAAAATATCCAGAATAATTATATGTCCATTTCTAGAGCATTCTTTGAACTGTTTGTGTACTATCGCCTACACGTTTTTGTTTTGTTTTGTTTTGTTTTTTTGGCACAGAGATGTCGCAAGCCTACATATTTTTAATAGAGGGGAAGAGGGGGTAGCAGCCATTTTAAAAAAGCTAATAATGATTTTTTTCTTTCTCCTTGATATATTTACTCTTATATATAAGAGAACGTGCAGTGGAAAGGGAAAGTGAGAAAAAGATGAAAGAACTATATGAGTACCCATTCCCTGTTAAGTTCATCTTTCTCTTAAATTTTACTCCCAGTAGAGCTGTTTGGCAAGTTATGTATAGCTAACAAGCGCTTAAAAATCTTTGACCTAGGTAATAATGAGTTGCTGTAACTCAGCTTTCACTGTATTACGTGACTGTAGAATTAGAAGTGCTTTCGGACTTCAAAAATATTCAAAGGATTAATGTTTTCTTTGGGCTGAGTTTGTTCAGTAGTGATTGCAATAAATTTGTCAGTAGTTGCTACCTTTATCTTTTGCTCTGATAATATCACAGGGGGGAAATACTAATTATTTTAACATAGAACTAAGTACAAAATCAACTGATTTTCCTTGAAAACCTTTTAGCAGAGATACTGATGAACAACTTTGCAATTGCCAAATACAATACATGATTTTCAGCCCATATCTTATTTTTCTTCTTTGCTGTATTTGACACTGACTACTTTCCTCTTCTTTGGAACTTCAAGCTTTTATAACTCTTTTATGTTTCTTTTGTATCTCTCTTTTTACCTCCTATATTTTTGAATTTTATTTATTTTTCAATCCTCTTTGTGGGATCTTCCTCCTCTGCTCATTTTTGATTATTAAACATTTCCCAAAGTTCTGATCTTGGCTCCCTGCTCTTCTCTCTATGGGTAATCTCATTCATGTCCCTTGCTCATCTGAGCTCTTTCTCTTTCTTCTGTGTACCTTCTCAGGAATATCAAACTAAGACAGAGTTAAACTCACTGTTTCCTGTTCCTATACCCTCCCTAGCAGTGTGTTGACTGTCTTTCATAATGGTATTTTATCTGCTCTACCTTCCAGTTGGTTTGGTCATACACTATGCTTTCTAATTGATACCTTTATCCATTATCTCCTCTTCATTCCTAATGCCTCTGCCTTTTACCAGATCCATATTCTCTTGTCTGAACTGTTTCGATCGCTTTTTTTTTTTTTTTTTTGAGACAGAGTCTCACTCTTGTCACCCAGGCTGGAATATAGTGTGCACGATCTCGGCTCACTGCAACCTCCATTTCCTGGGTTCAGGCTTCTGCTTCAGCCTCCTGAGTAGCTGGACTTACAGGTGTCCACTACCATACCTGGCTAATTTTTGTACTTTTAGTAGAGATGCGGTTTTGCCATTTGGCCAGGCTGATCTCAAACTCCTGACCTCAGGTGATCCACCCACCTTGGCCTCCCAAAATGCTGGGATTACAGGCATGAGCCACTGTGCCCAGCCTATTTTGATAGCTTTTTAACTGGTTGCTTTTCTTAGAATTTCACTGCCCTCTAAGCCGTTCATTCACCTTATTATTATTGTAGTGATGTTTCTGAGATACCAGTATTATGTCATTTCTCATTTAAAATGCTTATAGGTTAAAGTCCTCAACTCCAATTTCTGCCTACTTACCTTCTTAGGTTTAATGTGTGTTGTTTTTCCTATTACATTCTGTGCTATGCTATAGTACTTGATTTCTTTCCATTTCCCAAATGTGTCATATTTTCTTCGGCTTTTCTATTTTTGGGCTTATTGTTCATTCTAGCTAAAATGCTTTCCTTGTACCACCTTCTTTGCTTTATCAGATTATTAATTCCTCTTATCTTTTAGGCCTCAACTCAAGGATTATATATTTCTGGCAGAATTAGAAGTGACCTCTTCTCTCCTTTGGAATACTCTGTAGATAATTTTATTATTATTTACCACATTCTATTGTAATATTTTGTATATATGTCTTTGGGACATTGTACGTTCTTTTTGCTCTTCTAATTTCATGTTGCCTCGCTATGTAACTATTTGCTTCATGAGAACAGGACTCAAATGTTTTTAATTTTTATATTTCTAATGGCCTTACATTTAATAGATGTTAAGAAAATGCTTGTTAAATTAATAATGAAAAATTTGAGATAGAAAAGAGGTAAGATTAAACTAAATTATTTTCTAAAAAGGTTTAAAATATTAACATAAGCTTGGTATTTTAAATGTCTCTAAATATTCTTAGTAGAATGAGTTTTTGTTTTTTTCTTAAAGCAGGAAAGTTTGCAAAAAACAATCTATAAGCTGGAAGAACAGCTGCATAACGAAATGCAGTTAAAAGATGAAATGGAGCAGAAGTGCAGGTGAGAATATACTTTTAATAAGGTTACATTCTGCAAACATTTGAAAGTAGATAGAAAATGAGGATATAAAGATTACTACTGATAATACATTTATGATGTGCCTGGGCTAGAATTGAGAAGTAGTATTTATGTTGGCATTAGTTATAGATGTATTTTCTTCAGAATATTTAAAGTACATTTGTTCCTGGGAGTCTGTATTCTTAAAAAACTATAATGCTGATTCATTTAGTTGCCTCACTTACTGCTTTTTTCTCCTTATGTAATTAGCTAACTAAAAGGACAAATTAGCCTAGGCATGGTGGATCACTTGAGGCCAGAGTTCAAGACCAGCTAGGCCAACATGGTGAAACCCCATCTCTACTGAAAATACAAAAAATTAGCTGGGCGCGGTGGTGTGCACTTGTAGTCCCCGCCGCTTGGGAGGCTGAGGCATGAGAATGGCTTAATCCTGGGAAGCAGAGTTGCAGGGAGCAGAGATTGCACCACTGCACTCTAGCCTGGGTGACAGAGCAAGAGTCTGTCTCAAAATGAAAAATAAATAAAAGGGAAATCAGTTTACATTAAATAAGGTGCTTTTTTAAATGTAAAATGTTGTTGAAGATTAAAATATACTAAATTTTTGATGTGGCCATTCTAATTTCCACTGTGGTTCTCTAGAGCAATAACTCAGTATTTTTTTTTCTGTTGGTCTGATTTCAGCATGTTATTGGCATTAGACCCACAGAAAAAATATCTTTGAGTTATGCTCAAGATGAATTTAAATAACCTAGCATAATGCTGAATTACTTACCAATTTTAAGCAATAATTTTTTGTAATTATGTTTTTAGTGAATAGTATTGAATAAATGAAATGCAAGGGTAACATAAAAAGTATTCAATAAATGTAATTGGGAACACTGGTAATTTTGTGACAGAGCAGGTAGGGGGTTTGGTGTGAAACATGTAAAATTCTCACTTTTAACCATTCCTGTTAGATTATATATTTAAGTGTATAATCCAAGCTTCTTTTAGAAAAGCATTTGAATATAAGCAAATAATTAACTGATCACAGGATTTGGAAACAATTTCTAAGTATAAAATATGTAAATAAGGGGAAGAACTGGGTAGATACTTTTATATAAATGTTGAGAAGTCCCTCCATCCAAAATAATATCTTAAACAAAATTAAAAGGCAAGTGACAAACTGGTAGTAGTGGTGATTGGGGATCAATTTGAGGAAGTAATAAGAATGGCCAAAGTGGCTAATAATCATATGAAAATATATCACCTCAAGGAAATAAAATTGAGATGAAACTTTTAAAACTTACGTATGGAATTCGTAAATAGTTTTTAAAATAAAAACCTAGTGCCAGGGATTGTGGAGTGATATTTACTTGCGTTTCTTTTTGTGAGAGTGTAAATAAATATGTGGTACATTTTGTCTGAAAGATATACACTGTAGCTTTGTTTGAACCTTCTATTTCACAAAAATTTAGCTTTCTGTTTTTTAAAGTTTGGCTTTCCCTGCTCTATTTCTCTTACCCACCCAAGCTATGCTATAGTACTTGATTTCTTTCCATTTCCCAAATGTATTAAGCTAAAAGAATTTGGTTGAAATATATGGTTCAGCTAGAAACAGATATTGTCTAGATGTTCACCACCACATATAGATTGAGTTCAGACTGATTTAAATCAAATTTTCTGCATTTAAATCATTTTAGTTACATTCATTTATTCAACAAAAATTTCAGTTAAAGTATCAAATAATGTGCTTGTCAGCAGTATAATACTGAATAAATCAAGACATGGCCCCTCTCCACAAGGAGCCTGTAATTTAGCAAGAAAAAACAGTTATCAAGAAGTGTGGTATGTGTTAACTGCGGGGAGAATAAAATTATACAGGAATGTCAGGAATACATCAGGAGATGCCTGTACTATTTTGTCAGAGACCAGACTAAGCTAAAACCAGAAGATTCAATGGAAATTATTAGGAGAATGGAAGGAAGTGTTAGGGTCCAGGAGGTGAGTATCTGTGAAGGCTGTGAGGTAAGAAACCTTGACTGGACAGTAAGATGTGAGGGAAGGAAAAGCTTGAGATGAGAATGGGAAGGGTGTCAAGGTCTGGTTGGGGAGGATTCTTTTTTATTTTATTTTATTATTATTATTGTATTTGACTAAGAAATTTGGAATTTAAGTGTGATGGAAGAATATAAAAAGTCATTAAACTGAGAAGTAAAAAATATATATTAAATTTGCTGTTTCAAAAGAACCTCCTAGTTATTAGCAGCACTTGACACTTTTTCAGCTAAATGGGAGTGAGGGAGGATGAGTCAAGGATGATTCCTAGGTGATGTCATTACTCGGGGACCGTAGAGGAGACGCAAATTGGTATTGGGATGGGAATGTGAAACAGGGAGTAGGTTCCATTTTGGAGTGCTAAATGAGGTATTTGATGAGACATCCTTGTGAAAATGTTGCATATATAGGTTTTGAAGCTCAGAATTACATTTTGAACCAAAGAAAGCAAATTGTAATGAAGATAGTACACTTTGAGTGTTGCCAAATGGTCCCTTAACTGATTTGATGTATGCTGCCTTTCTCTTCATTTATTTTATCTTGTATTAAAAGATAAATGGCTAATTTTTGTGTAGTGACAAGTATTGCATGAGGGGGGTTAGGGATCCTTAACCTGCGATCCACAGACCTCCCCCAAAGAGTCCATGGATAAAATTTGAGGTCCTTAAACTTGGATGAGAAAAGGTGAATATTTTCTCTAACTTATAACTTAATTTTAGTTCTTGTTTCAATTCTGAGCATAGGCAGCAATTCAGTTATTACTAGTAGTTGTTCATTTTTATTACCGATAGAAATTATAGCTGTTTTCTTATTACAGTTGTTACAGCTATCTCTAAATATCATTTGTGATCATCACTACTTTGGAATTACTGCTGCTGAATCTTGTGATTTAATATAGTAATAAGGAAGCACATATACTACTGAATTATACATATTTTTTAAAGTGTATTACTATATTTCAATATAATTGACTTCTTTTTTTTTTTTTTTTGAGATGAAGTCTCATTCTGTTGCCCAGGCTGAAGTGCAGTGGTGTGATCCCTGCTCACTACAACCTCTGCCTCTTGGGTTCTAGCAACTCTCTTGCCTCAGCTTCCCAAGTAGCTGGGATTACAGGCACCCACCACCACACCTGGCTAATTTTTTTTTTCCCCTCAAGATAGAGACTCACTCTGTTGCCAGGCTGGAGTGCAGTGGCACGATCTTGGCTGACTGCAGCCTCTACCTCCTGGGTTCGAGCAATTCTTCTGTCTCAGCCTCCTGAGTATCTGGGACTACAGGTGTGCGCCACCACACCCAGCTGATTTTTGTATTTTTAGCGGAGACAGGGTTTTACCATGTTGGCCAGGATGGTCTTGATTCCCCGACCTTGTGATTCGCCGCCTCAGCTTCTCAAAAGTGCTGGAATTACAGGTGTGAGCCGCCGTGCCTGGCCTTTTTTTCTTATTTTTATTAGAGATGGGGTTTCACCATGTTGGCCAAGCTGGTATTGAACTGCTGACTTCAGGTGATCCACCTGCCTCAGCCTCCCAAAGTGCTGGGATTATAGGCGTGAGCCACTGCACCCAGCCTAATTGGCTTCTTTTAATCATGTGTAATTTTTGTGCTTTAAAAAATACTATTTTGAAAAAAAGCGATAGGCTTCACTTGACTGCCAGAGAGATCCATGGCACTAAAAAAGGATACAAAACTCTAGTTAAATGGAAAAATAAGGAATGTGAGTATTCAACACTGGCCAATAAGAAATAAATATATTTCTAATCTGTATTGCTTTTGTTTTTACAGAACCTCAAACATAAAACTAGACAAGATAATGAAAGAATTGGATGAAGAGGTACTTTTTGTTTTCTAATCAGAAGTTTCCTTTTTGAGATCCCTCTTTCAAATTGTTTTGTTTCCTGAGAAAATTATATCTGAACTCTATAGTTTGAAACACAAAACAGAGCCAGAGAATTGTGATGAAAGCCTCACCTTGGAACTACAGGTTCAAGTGGTACAGATTCGATTATACTTTAGTTTCCTTTGTACAATTTTATTCTACAGTTATATTGAAATTTTAGTATGTAAATTTCAGTTCAGTGGTTCTCCATGGTTTAAATGTGAGAAAGGAGCCAGAGAAGCAAGAAATCAGAAATTGAATCTCCAACTATATCAGAAAGAGGCAAATAAGGAAAGGAGAAAATTGCAGTTTAAAATATTTTAAAAGGATTGACACTGACATAATCTCATGTAGTCAAATGGAAAATATATTGATTGTAGAACGTTCATCTTTTCCATGGTTACCTACCAAAATTTTTTTATTATCAGGAAAACATAACAAGCATTCATAATTCATGTTTGTTTGCAAATATGTAATACATTTCCATTCCTCTTAGTCAACTTCTAAGTGTCTTTCTACTGTGTCTATGAGTCCCATTAAAAGAAATACACTCTCTATAGTCTTCCCCTAATCTATTACTTACTTTGTTCTTTTTAGATTTAATCTTTGATAGTTTTTATGCTGTGTTAATTTTTTCTTCCCTTATAGAATGGCATCTGTCAGTGGCTTGCTTTCTTTCATGTGTAGTTTTGGATATCCGTAATCATCTGTGAAGATTGAGATAGCATTTGTTTTAAGACTTGCCTTTGTACTTAGCCTTAACAGTTTTATATTTGACTCTGGATGTTTAAGGAATCATTTTTTGCATATCTTCCACTTATATTTAACTTCTGAAACACAGATAAAATTTAACTGTGCTAGATTTAAGTTACTCATTTTTCCAAATTAGAAATAGGAAAATTTGAGATATGAAATTAAAATAGTCCCACTTCTAGAAAGATGGAGTAAAAGTACCTTTTTCCTATTCCTCCCAGTAAGTACAGCTAAAAACCATAGACATTTAACATAAAACAAACAAAAAGATTTTGAAAGGTGGAAAGAAGACAAACCAGCCTGGGTTACTTGCATTCTGAGAAACAACACATGAATGAATCTTAAGGTTTTTTTTGTTTGTTTCTTTGTTTGTTTGTTTGTTTTGCTGCATGTATCCTAGACAGGGTGCCAGAGAAGCCAGTAACCTTGAAATATCAACAGTTACAGACAGAGCTCCAAAAAATGCTAATTTTCTTAGCCTAAAGACCAAGAAAGGAGCAGACTAGCAAGTCAGAAGACTTACACAGTCACTGCCATTTTCAGCCAAACACCACAGAAAAAAGGTAGCCTCACTCTTAACAGCAAAGACTGAGTGGGAAGTCTAGATTTTCATCTCCACTATACTGTGGCGTAGCACACCCCAACTTCCAATTCGAATAGTGTCAGAGAAGGCCCAGCAAAGGAATTTTCATCTCCTGTAAGCAGTAACAAAGCTTCCCTCTCTCCCCAGACAGTATAGCAGAGACCATTTGGGGGGTCTACTCTTATACTTCCAGCTGACCATAATGGAGTGCCACTGCCACTGCCTCCTGGGTTGGTATCAAAGGAGGCATGATAGGGAGTCAGAACTTTCACCACAGAAAATAACAAGCTCCCCTCCACAATGCAGTGTCAGTGGGGCCACATAAGGAGCAGCCATGGTGCACTCAATGGAGGCCTGGTAGAGTGCTAGAACTCCTGTTTTTCTACCCAGCAATGATGAGGATTTGCTCCCCTCCCGACTGAGGTGTCAGTAGAGGCTGAGTGGAAAACCTCAACTTCTACAAGTTCCACCTGACAGAAAAGAGGCAGCACCCCCTTAGTTCTACTAGAACAATGTCAGAGGAGACCTTTTAAAACAGATTTTAAATAAGATCCAGAGTGTTGTAAGATAATGCCTAGGTTTTAATAGAAAACTACTCATCATATCAAAACTAGGAAAATTTTAACTGGAATAAGAAACAACAACTAATACCAACACTGAGATGACAGATATTAAAATTATGTGATAAGAATTTAAAGGAATCATCATCATAAATATGTTTCCGTGAGCAACTATAAATGTACAAACAAGCAAAAAAATAGAAAGTCTCGGAAAGACATAGACACTATAAAATAGAGCTAACCAAAAATTATAATAACTGAAATAAAAATCTCAATAGATGATGTCAGCAGCAGAGGGAACACTGCAGAGGAACGAATCAGAGACCTTCAGCAGAGAACAATAGAAATTATCCAGTGTGAACAACAGAGAAAATGGTCAGGAAAAAAAGTGACAGAGCCTCCAGGACCTGTAGAACTATAACAATACAGTTGTAGCATTTGTTTCACTTGAATTACTAAAGGAGAGGAGAAAGGGGTGGGAAGAAATGATGACAGAAAATTCAGCAAATTCGGCAAAAGACCCGAACTGACAAACAAAAGACATAAACCTACAAGAAGCTTAGCAGGCACAAAAAGTGTAAACCCAAAGATACCCACACCAAGACACAATAGTCAGAGTGTAAATCTCCAAGAAGCTTAGCAAACTGCAAAAAGCGTAAACCCAAAGATAGCCACACCAAAACGCAATATTCAGACTTACGAAAATTAATTACAAAAAGGAGGTCGTAAATACAGGACACGCTTTACTAGAAAGGAAAGAACAGTGCAAGTAACAGCTGATTTCTTATCAGAAACCATGGAGGCCAGGAGGAAGTGGCATGACTTTTTCAGGTGCTGAAAAAACAAAAACAAACTTATCAACCCAGAATTAATTCTATGTTCAATTAAAATATCCTCAAATGAAAAGAAAATGACATTCTCTGATGAGGTAAAACTAAAAGAATGTGTCAGCAGCACACCTTCTCTAAAAGAATTGCTAAAGAAAATTCTCTAAACAGAAAGGAAATGATAAAAGAAGGAATCTTGGCCAGACAGATTGGCTCATACCTGTAATCCCAACATTTTGGGAGGCCAAGGTGGGTGGCTCACTTGAGACCAGAAGTTTGAGACCAGGCTGGCCAATATGGCAAAGCCCCTTTACTAAAAATAAAAAGTTAGCCAAGTGTGGTAGCACATGGTTGTAATTCTAGCTATTCCGGTGGCTGAGGCTAGAAAGTTGCTTGAACCTGGGAGGTGAAGTTGGAGTGAGTCAAGATCACACCAGTGCACTCCAGCCTGGGCAACAAAGCAACTCTGTCTCCAGAAGAAAAAGGAGGAATTTTGAATTATCAGGAATAAAGAAATAGTAAAATATGGGTAAATACATTTTTTCTCCTCTTGATTTTTTTTTATATTAGACAGTTGAAGCAGAAATTATAATACTGTCTGATATGGTTCTCTGTGTATGAGAAGAAATACTTTAGACAATCATAAACAGAGTAATGGGTCATAAAGAAAGGTAAAGTTTTTAGATCGGATGTGGTGGCTCATGTCTTTAATCCCAGCACTTTGGGAGGCCAAGGCTGGCAGATTGCTTGAGCCCAGGAGTTCAAGACCAGCGTGAGCAACAAGGCATAACCCCATCTCTACAAAAAAATACAGTAATTAGGCATGGTGGTGCACAGCTGTAGTCCCAGCTACTAGGGAGGCAGAGGTGGGAGGATTGCTTGAGCCCAGGAAGTTGAGGCTGCAGTGAGCCATGAGCATGCCACTGCATTCCAGCTTGGGTGACAGAGTGAGACCCTGTCTAAAAAATAAATAAGATAAAAAAAGAAAGAGAAGGTTTTAATACTTAAACTGGTAAAATGCAAATATCAGCAGAGTGCACTATATATGAAGCTATGCATATACAATGTAATATCTAGGGCAGCCACTGAAAAAGCCATACAAGGAGATACATTCAAAAACACCATAAGTAAATCCAAAGGATTGCTAAAATAATGTTCTAGTAACCCACATAAAGGCAGGAAAGAAAATGTAGAAATAATAGAGATCAAACAAAAAAACGAAAATGGCAGACTTAACCCTAAAGTACTACCAATAGTGACGTTAAATGGAAATTAAATGGAATAGCAATCAAAAGAGGTGGTAGGAGTAGATTTTTTAAAAATCCCCCATTTATATGTTATCTATCAGAAACTCTTCAAGTATAACAACATAGGAAAGTTGAACATCAGATGGAAAGTGATGACATACAAATGTTAAAAAGAAAACAACAATATTGACAATATTAATACCAAATAAAGTAGACTTCAAAGAAAATTACCCTGAGCATAGAGGAATATTACATAATGGTAAGAGTCAGTCCACCAAAAAGAAAGAAGGATCCTAACTGTTCACCAGTGAAGCAAAAGTTAATAAAACTGAAAGGAGAAGTAGACCAATGCATAATTGTTGGAGACCTCAATACCCCTAAGAATCGGCAAACATGGGAGAACTCAACCACACTGTCAGACACCAGAATTTGTTCAACATTTATAGAACCCTACATTTAACAGTAGAATATGCCTTCTTTTCAAGTGCTTAAGGAACACACACCAAGGTAGACCACATCCCAAGCTATAAAACAAACACATTTGAAAGCATTGAAATCATACAGAGAGTTTCCTGACCAAAATATAATCAGATGAGAATAAATAACAGAAAAATTTGCAAACACATGGAAAGCAAACAACAAACTTCTAAATAATCCATTGGTCAAAGAAGAAGTCTCAGTGAAAAAAATACATTGGAATGTTAATTGTGTCTCATAAAGCTGTTATGGCTCTTCATCTTTAAAAAATATTTAAACAATGAAGTGAAAATATATCATCAAAATTTGTGAGATGCTGTTAACATAGTGATCAAGGTTAATTTATAGCACTGAATGCTTACCTTAGAAAAAAGGAAAAGTCTGAAGTCAATAATTTAACCTCCTACTTCTAGAAACTAGAAAAAGAAGAGCAAAATAAACCCAAAGCAAGCAAAAGGAAAGACAAGTAATGATAAGAGCAGAGATCAATGCAGTTAAAAGCAGAAAAGCAATAGAGAAAATCAATGAGACAAAAAGCTGTGTGAAAAGATCAACAAAATTAACAAACCTCTAGCAAGACTGATAAAGGAAAAAGAGAGGACACAAATTACCAGTATGAGGAATGAAATAGGGCATATCACTATGGACCGTATAGGTATCAAAAGGATTATAAGGAAATACTATGAACAGTTTTAAACACAATTGAGACATTTAAATGAAATGGACTAACTTCTCAAAAAACAAACTAGCAGGCTGGGCACGGTGGCTCACGCCTGTAATCCCAGCACTTTGGGAGGCCGAGGCAGGTGGATCACGAGGTCAAGAGATGGAGACCATCCTGGTCAACATGGTGAAACCCCGTCTCTACTAAAAATACAAAAAATTAGCTGGGCATGGTGGCGCGTGCCTGTAGCCCCGGCTACTCGGGAGGCTGA